AATAATTTGCCCGTTGACTTAAAACAAGTTATTTGCCAGAATGAAATTTCAAAGTATTTTATTACTTACGTCATATGACCTTGCTCAGATGAGTGATTTTGAAACACCCGTCACACCATCAATTTTCATCCAAACGAGATGTTTCATACTGTAGTAGCGCAATCTACTCGTCTCGTTGTTTAGATATCGATAGCACGCATCAGAATGACAATATTGTTTCTTAGGCAAACGTCATGAAAAAAACCGTACCACGACCAAGTTGTCACTATGTGGTAATCAATGCGTGAACAGTACGGAGGTCAGGCACGACCGAGTTTGAGAGACGAGTAGTAAACCTGTCTTCCGCAGCTCATTTCTGTATGCATTCATCCTAGTCTCTTCGTGGTAGCTACAGCAGTTAGGTTGTCTGTGGCTCGGTTTCCCCTGATACATTCTGTTGGATGCCATGCCCATCATTTGGAACTTCCATGGTTTTGTCCAGAGGCCACAAGGATGGCTGAAACTACCGACAGTAAGATTCATGCTATGTTCGAGAGGTTAGAGACGTTTTAGTGTCAATATTATAGTAGCAGTGTTGCGCAGCAGTGATGATGCTATGTATCTGCATCACAGCTAATGGGGCTGACTTCAGCACATCGTGCGCACTCTCGTCGTGTAAACCAAAGTATGAATAAAAAAAAATACGTTTTGACACAGATTTCAGTATACAAATTTACATATTAAAATCTGGCCAAAAAAATTGTCTCCACTTTTATGGAATAGAGGAAGTACTACACCATTTTGCGTTTAATTCCAGCTTATTTTCGATATATTTCCACCAACCTCCGATATATTTCACGGAATCGCCAATATAATTCACCCAACCTCCATTATATTTCACGCCGACGTAAAATATCGCCGTTATATTTCACCCAACCTGCGTTATAATTCACCCAACCTCCAACTTTCGAAAATACAATTCACCTAACAATCATTATAATTCGAGCTGGGAATCTAGAAAAATCTGAGCTCGATGGAAGAGGCCATACCTGCACCACAAACTCCGGTACGTCTCTCTGTTGACCGCTAACATGACGTGTCAAGACGCTTCGTTCTTAAAACTAGGGCCGTACTCCCCGATGTTGAACCCGATCGAGAATATGTGGCTGGCGTTGAAGAGCCATATTAAGACATCTTTGCGCGAACGAGTCGCGACCTTTATGGGGCTACCGCCAGACGGACAGACTTAAAAAGATGTAACTCAACAATGAATTAGGAATTGAGCCGAATCGTTTGCATGTGTACACGGCCCGCCTTGAGCCATTTTATGTCCGTGCTGAGAACATGGAAGACATGGACGTTGGTGCTTGAGCCGTAGATGTCGTAGATATGTTGCGTGGGTTGGTTTTAATTTACTTTCCATGAAATATACCAGTGGTCAGGTGAAATATATTTTCGAAAGGTGAAATTAAGTGTTGGTTGGGTGAATTATATCGGAGGTTGGGTGAAATATAATGGCCAAATTTCAATTCGGCGTGAAATATAATGGAGGTTGGGTGAATTATATTGGCGATTCGGTGAAATATATCGGAGGTTAGTGGAAATATTTTGAAAAAAAAGCTGAAATTAAACGCAAAATGGTGTAGTACAGTCAAGTTGTTGTTTTTTAATTGTTCTCCATGCAGGAAGATCACTCACATTTCGATTTCCATGACGGCCGTGTATGGAGAATACCACGCTTCCGAGGCGGTCGCGTAGTTGCATGCGCCGTATCGGCCCGTGTTTGGTATGCCCAAGAAGAAAGACTTCGACAAGGCCATCGCCGAGTACCAACGACGACTCGGACTTGACGAGATCGACATCAAGGTTGTCGTCGCGCAAAAAGTTCGGGTGTCAGACTGGTTGCGAAGCCGGTTGGAAGTGCGCAGCGTCAAAATTCACACCGTCTACAACGGCGACCTCTGTGATGTGTTCATCACCAAGTTTATCACGGGAACTCATCAAAGTGCCGTGGGCGAAATTGCACGGCAATTGGGTAATTGGGACACGATGCTAACGGTCTACTGCTGCACGGCTTTTCGGGTAGACCGTTGAGGTTTCCGACAGCAACTCGTGAGCCCGATGGGGTAGCCAGCCCCGATTCCGACCCCAACATGCCAAGACTCGTGGTGGAGGTGGAGCTGTACCATCGGAGTCTCAAAGGCGCTGACAAGTGGGCTCGCGAGTACTTTGGCTTCATCCCCAAACTGCAGGACCTTCTCCTCGTCAAGATTTATCCTCGATGAGTGGACACACGGTAATGTGCATGTTGCATATTAACCTCATACTGGTAGATTTGCCGCCTTGGCTGAGTTGTACCAGCGCCACGCGACAGGCGCGCCGACTATCACGGACGCAGTGAGCTTTGGGTCGGCCCCTCTGTGCACCATCGAATATGTGATGGACACCCTGGGGTACCATGGATTCGCGTGTTACAATCTCCGCTGAATGCCGACGGGACGCGGCCCCCCGTGTCGCCATGGCAGCCCCCGTCGAACCCGACCATCACAGTCCCTGCCACCGATCTGTTTTACCTGCGCACGGATCCACTCACGCACGTTCGTGACCTGATCCCGCATGCCAACCCCCACGCACAGGATTTCTCGTTGGACTTGTTTCGCCTCTTCACCAGAATCGACCAAAACACAGTCTTCGACTAAATTAAACGGTGTAATGTGACGCTGGTTGGTACCAACATGCTTTAGCGGATCAATCAAAGTTCTTTGACTCGGGAATTGTGCCCAAGACGACCACGAGTCTGTCTTATGCAGTCGCCAACGCTACTGACGTGTTGTTTGTAGCTCCGATGTACACGAGTTATCGTCATTCGAGATATATGTTGTAGATCTGGCCATCCATCGTGAATATCTGATCCATCCTTTTGTTTCACTTCGATATGCTCAACATCTCTATCCGAATCGCAACAACACCGTCAACTAACAGCTCGTCTTGAGGGATGGTGATCGTTCTACGTCTGATTCTACATCTAAGTGTGTACGAGAGGGCGAATGGGTGGTGGTGGTGGATTTGAACCAGTGTGTTACGGGTGATTTCTCTCTCTAGGGGTTGAATGCAAACAAATCTGCTTTATTGTCGATACAGTATTTGATATACAAATTTGGGGAGGGGTTGTTTGCAATCGAATCGCGCCGACCAAACCGATCCACAATCGATCTGATTGGTTGAATTTCATTGAGAAATGGATTTTTATTGGTTAATATTTTTTTGAAGTAGCCAATCAAATCGATTTAAATTCCAACGACACGACATGAGCCTCGACTTGACTTGATTCGTCGAATAGACCGAAAATACCAAATAATTTAGCTTGAAAGTACAATGTACCACATTCGATATGATTGTTGCCACAACCTGGAATCCCATCACCCATGTCCCACGCAACAACCCGTGCCATTATACTAGTAGTATTTTCCTAGTACTAGTAGTACTGTATATAGAATATATATATATATATATATATATATTAATAATTAGAAAATTGTTTTGATCACTCGATTAGCAGATTTACAACACAATGCATACTTTGCGCCACGCCGGTGGCTCGTCGTGCTGACCCTGGGCGTTATATCGATCAAACACGGTGGGTACTTCAGTGCCCGTCGCGCGGCCTTCCAACGCCGTCGGCGCCGGAAACAGCCACATGATGCGGCGGATATGAGCGTTCGACATGTACGGGTCCAGGACCCACAGCCGCTCCAGCGCTTGGTTGTGATTGGTCAGTTCTGCAGAAAGTTGCTCCGACACACTAAGCACCACATGACCGCATTGGAGCGTGTCCACAAGGAGCGAGGCGGCGGCGTCGGCAAACTCGGCGCCGCCGCTTTCGACAAACACTGCGTCCGACACTAAAACCCAACCACACACATTCTTAATATCAAGTGGTATATAGATAGATATCTGTGGTCGATTTCAAAACGATTCAAAATATAGATATATTTGTCGATCCAGCCAACATGTATGACACTACAACTCCACCACCGAGTCAGTCATCACCAATCCCAACTACTCTGAGGTTTCTGTCTATATACATATATATACGAGTATATATATGGTAAGGCTCGAGACTATTATTCATGTGAATATATATAAATATATACGTCGTAGTACTAGTATATGAGACACTACCATTCAACTACCACACCGAGACAACCGCCACTCCCAACATCACTTGATGTTCCACGACATTTATATATATATATATATATATATGGTAAGTCTTGAGAATATTATTCGTGTGAATATATATATAAAAGTGTGAAACCATCGTAATAACGACCGATCATTGTGGACCACAGTAGTCTATCTATAAACCAGTATATATAAATATAAAGCCAGTATATATATATAAAGCCAATATATATACAAAGTCACTATATAAACTGAACATTTGTCTACTTTCAAATAATACAATCTTTGATTGAATGAATGTACACTGGGGATAAATTTATTCTTCTTTCAAGGTATCTTGAGCAAAATGCCAAATTGTTCACTAAAGTACGAGATGAGAAATCGATGAAAATAGGGTGCGTCTATAGTTTTGAGCAGCACTGTATATATAATAAAGCCACTATATACATATATAAAGGCCAGTATATATATATATAAACCAGGATATGAAGTCAAACATACCTTGCCAACCCACGACGGTGGAATTGTGCATGTTGCTGTCGAGCATTCGGCGAAGGCCATGGAGGAAGGGATGGGTGCCCATGTGAGGCATCCAATCCCCCAGAAACCGAAGAAGCTTGCCGCGCTGGACGTCCAAGTCACTTGACCGACGGAGGTACCCGCCTGTCGGCAGCGGGCGGACGGCAAGGACGCGGGTGTCTGGATCGAGATGATACTGGCATGATTGCAGGGCGTTAAGCCGGCAGTGGAATGCCTCGTACTATATGAGACGATGTACGATATGCTAAACAGTGACGATGTCATGGATGTGTTACGCGAGAATGGGCGAGATGCGCATGGTAGTCGCCGCGAATGCGCGTTTTGACGATTTCCAGTTGGAGTAGGCTACATGAGCAACGATATCACGACACATGAAGGACATGGGATGTACGGACTTGGCATCGAAGGCCGCGCCGTGGCCGCGCACGGGACACCTTGTGAGGCCGAGGAGGTCGACGACAGACGAAGACGCCATCATGTCGTCTGACGGCGCACGCGGCGAGGATGTGTTGTCTGCAATCTCGATCCTAACCCACCAACAAGAAACGTGATAAGGCGACGACAATGGACGACGGCGGGAATCCTACGCGACGGCATCCTGTAGGTCGTCGGCCGAGACGGTCTGCTTGGCCTGTTCATACGCATCAAGAAGCGTCTTGGCCGACGGATCCTGGTGGAAGTAGAACTGCCGACATACATCTCGCCACCTCTTCAGGTGCGCCTCGTCTTCCTGCACGCAAGTGCAGACCGCCGTCGACTGCATGATGACGGCGTCTGTACTGTTTGTGCCAAGGCGGCGGCGCACGGCACATCCGGAAACACCCATCATATCCGGATAGGTATTTTCCAAATACACAATTTTATTCAATGAAATGATTTCTACGAATATTGGCTAAAATACAGGTCATCGTTGTGGCCGATTATAAATACTTTCAGCCAATCAAAGCCACCTAGAATTGTCGGGATACTTATTAATATTAATAGCACTACTGTAGTACTATTAATATTAATTGTGTACTATTAATAACGTTAGTATTGAGATTCGTTTTGATGGAAATTAACAGTATCAAATTAATTTCCAGTGCAGAACAAAGGGAGTATTACTCCGTATTAATAGTAGTACTAGTAGTAGGTATGGTGCACTCCATCTACAAGCCACCTCCTTTTCACACCTGGGAACTCACAGAACAGGATAAAAGGAAGTACATTTAAGAGCCTGTTACAAGTAGAATTCGAAAACTAACGGTAGAATTGGTAATGAAATGACTCATAGTATTATATCGGTAGTACTACTATTAATAGTAGTAATAGTAGTAATAGCAAAAATAATACCATTAATAGTAATTACTATTGATATTAATAGTACTCGGAGTAGTACGTGAGCTTATGTTAATACAAAAACAATCGTATTAACTTGAACATTTCGTTTGTATGACATCAAAGACGACACTAACATTTTTTACGCTACGTGAAGAAGGGTGGGCGATTTGGCCTTGGAAGAATGCAGCGCGTGGTAGTTGTCGACTGGAATATGATGGGACTGCTGCAAATTGGGGGAATTCGACAGCCCCACGTCGTTCGCCGGGGTGAGCACAATCGCGGGGTCGGCGGTTTGGTCTTGTTTGTGGATGTCGCGGTAACCCATATAACTCTGCGCAGAAAAGATGACGAGGGAGGCCCAGACAAGGCCAAACCCCAGCAGTATCACAGCGGAAAAGTGTTCGTGAAAGGCAAACGCAGCGAGCAGCACGACGATCGTCGGGGTTACGTACACGAGCACCCCCACGACGGTGAGCGGGAGATGCTGGACTGCGTACGACAGTGTCACAAGGGGGAGTGCTGTGACGACCCCCGAGCCCACGAGGAGCAGGTCCGTGTGGATTTCGCCATGGCCAAACACCCCCCGATTGCCTTCCGACACTTCCACAAACACCAAATATGCGACAGCGGGCACGACCAACATGGACATTTCAAACGCTACGCCTTGAATCGCATTCAAGCGCACTAGCGGACTCGTTTTCGCAAAGCTGTACAGGGCTTCGCACAGCGCCAACACGAGCGACACCCACGGAAATACGCCGTACCCGACGGAAATGACACACAGCCCCAGCGTGGCGAGGCCGATGGCGGCCCACTGGTACCGGTGCAGCCGCTCCCGAAGAAACACGACCCCCAATAAGACCGTGATGAGCGGCAGAATGTAGTCCCCCAACCCGGCTTGGCTCACAAAGCCAGCGTTCACAGCCCACACGTACACGGCCCAGTTGCCCGAAATGAAGAGCGCGGCGATGCCGTGCCGCCGGAATGCCGCCGTCGTCTTGGCGTGCCCGAACGCGGTGGCGAGAACAGACCAGTCGCGGGCGAACGCGACCGTGAGGGTCGCACACAACACGAAAGACCACAGAATGCGATGCATGAGCACCTGCAGCTCAGGCACGTGACCTAGTTCGCGCCAGTAAAGCGGGGACACGCCCCAGATTGTGAACGTCGTCAAAGCCGCCGCCACCCCACGTAGCTTGGTCATGGTGGAAAAATATGTAAACTGGTGGGGACTGGACGTGCGACATCGTATGGGAGGACAGGGGTCGGGTTCTTGGAGTGTGCGCAGCCAACCGATGACGTGGAGCCGCTGGCGTCGATGCGAAGAGTGGGATGGAATGTCTGTCCATGTGACAGTCGATGGGTTGTCGCAGGTGCATAGTGGAACGTGTGTGCCATATATCAATCATCACACGACGACACCCACGCCAGAACAACATGAACGTTAACGGTGCATAACGGTACCATGAGATACCTTGTGTCGGACGGATCGACCAAGTGTCGATCGTTATGCAATGTTTCAAGTCGGAAGCTGAGTAGGAACGAGGCGAGATCGGGGCAGCAGCACGTGGGGATCAAGTGTTTGGGTGGCGACAGATGGATGCCCACCTCCTCAACCAGTGTCTCACAAAGGGAAAAACTGCTGCGACGGCGCAACTTTGGTCCAAGGGGTGTCGTTACATAGTAACGATTGGTCAGGTCGCACTGCACCGACTACTGTACTGTAGTTTATTCCTTCAACGCAAAGAGTTTAAATCGTGGCGGCGTGATCAGCGGACGCATATGGCAAAACGAAGTTACCGTAACGTTAAGCTTACCAGTACCGTGACGAGTGTCAAGTGGTGCTTTTCCCTCGCCTGTGTTCACGCCTTTTGTCCTCGCCTATTTTCTCCCAAACTCTATCGCCTAGTCTATCAACTCTGACAGGCCGAGACAGTGGCCGCTTTATACCTGCATGTTCTGCATATTCTTCATGCCGCAACCCTACCCTAGTGATTGCTCACCCAATCACGGCTCTAGCACAAGGAAAAGAGCGCTGATTCTCACAGGTCAGTGTTTCCCTTTGGCTGATTTTTAGCCAATAGAAACGAAGCTAGATAGTTTGTAAACGACTGAATGTCACTTTTGGTTTTCCCCTGTCCCGCACACTTGGTTTGTCTTGGACACTCTGCGCAAAGTTGCTACACGCCTATCACCCACGCCTACCTCCTGTTTCTTGCTTCGTGACACGTTATGAGCCCTCCTGCTTCGACCATTACCGCCTACTCCGGCATTCTCCTCGACGACGCCTACAAATTCTATGCTGCGTGGCGCACCACGTTTGAAGAAGCGACCGTGACCGCGGGTTTCTTCTCCCACTACACCAACGAGACCTACTGTCCCACGCGCATTGAAACGGACGCCTACACCATCAGTCAGGCCAAACTCCAGGTCGACAAGATACGTAGTGACGCGAAGTACTCTATCAACGGTTATGCTGGTGACGCCTTGGAATAGCGCCTCGCAGCGGTGAAACGCCTCGAACAAGACTTCGCACGCAAGTTTCTTGATGAGTGCATCGCGGAGTCCATCGCCGCCTTACGCGTCCAAGCTAAGGCATTTCTCTTCAACTCCCTCACGCCTATCCTCCAACAAGTCATCATTACTCACGCCTCTCCCTTCACTCTCTGGGCCGCTCTTATGGCGCGCCATGAAGCCGGCACCCGCGATCCCATGATCCTGTTTGCGAGTCTCACTCAACTCAAGTACAGTGAGGACATCAGTGCCGAGACCCTTTTCACTACTCTCGACGATCAGATCAATCTCATCGAAACGGCAACCCTCCCCGCGAACGCTGACGCTCTCACGGCTCGCGAAGGTGATGTAAAGACCTTTGAGCTCTTTGGAACTCTCTTCTACTCTAACGCCTTTGCTGCCAACAAAGACGTGTGGGACGCCGTCTGCCAGCTCCAATTCAAGGCGCTCGAGGATGGATCTGAATGCACGCCTACTGCCATCAAGGCTAGTATTCGCCACACCCTCAACATCGCCTCTCGCCGCAATCTCATCCTCTCAGATCAAGGCTCTGGTGACTCCGAATCCCGTCGACGCCAAGTTGCTGCTGCTGCCACATGCACTACACCTCCTACCGTCTTGTATGCAACGCCTTCCACTACTCACCCTCCGCCTACTTATACTGCTGCTGCTGCCTCTTCTTACGAGTCACTGCCACGTTGGGCACACTCCAACTGTCACAATCATCCTTTCAATTCCTGTTTCTACTGCGGCTCGCCTGAACACCGCCTTCCTGATTGCCGCACCATGCGCGATGATGACAGTCGAAACCGTATCCGTGCCGGCGTTCCCAAACATGTGGTTGATACACATTGCCGTCGGAAACGTGCATCGTCTCGCAAGATCATGGACGATCACACGCAGCATCATCGCCGCGACCGCGACGACTACGACGACAACCACGGGAACAATCAGGGTCCTCACAGCAGCTATCCCAAGCGCCATCGCGATGACTCTCGACCGCCTTCCCGAACTTCTACTCGTTGATCGCCTCCACGTTCCTCGCAAAGAGATCGTTCCTCTCGAGCTACTCAACGCCTTTCTACCACTTCATTTCCCAACCACCCAGACTCCAGTCGTAGTCGACCCATATCCCCTCCATCCTCCGCCTATCCTCGCCTTTCGTCCGCTACCCGTCGCGTTCGTTCATCGCCTCCTAAACGTCGTGCTTCTCCATCACGACCATCTGCTGGATGGAATACATCCCAAACCTTTCATCCTTCTTCCGCCTCTCTACGTCGCTCTACCTCGGCACCACCTGCGAAACGACAACGCCTTCCCACTCCCGCCTCTCAAACCTCTACTACAAAGGCATCTATTCCGCCTACCTTAGCTACAACGCCACGCCCTCCATCTTCATCCACGCCTACCGCCCACAATCGGGCTACCTCCACAGCACTCATCGTTCAACCCCAGTTTCCATCCCAACAAAACTATATACCAGATCCTCCCGCCTCTTCTACGGTGGATGACTCTCTGCTGCCCCCACTCCCCGCCTATCGTATTCATCCTCCGCGTACGCCTCCCAACTCTAACAAACCCACTAAACGACCTCCCACGCCTGCCGATTATGTTGACCCGCCTGCACGACAGTTACCCGTACGTCTCAACCGCCGTGGTGGCGCCTACAGTGCACCTCCGCCTCCTCGCGCTGCGCGCCCTTATTATTCCTCCGATGAAGAAGACCGCTGGGGTCCAATTCATGACGTCGCCTACGGCCAAATGGCCAACATTACTGCCGACGCCTTTCACCAACTGCCTTATGACAAGTGTGTCGCCTACCATCTTTTCAAGCACCAAACCGGTCTCCATCCCAAAGCGCGACCACCGCCTATCCCACTCATCAAAGACAACCTCCAACTCAAAGACTACCAAGCCAACCCTACGCCTCCCACAATGACCACTCACTTTCCCTTCTACGTTGGAATCTCCTGGGACACGGTCAGCCTAAAGGTGTATTTCCCCAACCACACCAATCCCTTTCCCTTGGAACCTTCACTCTATCCCCAGCTCTCCAACGAATGGATCATCGACTCTGGTGCCACCGCCTCCTGCACGCCTCACCGCCGCTATTTTATCGACTCCTCCTTTGTCGACAAATCATTTACTCTTGCTGTGGGCGATGGTGGCAAACTTCCTGTTCTCGGCTACGGACCGATCAATCTCGGTGTTACCACCCACTCTGGCGACACCTCGGCCACTCTTACCGCTCATCATGAGCCTCTTTCTCTACCCTTTGCCCTACATTGCCCCGCCTTACAAATCAACCTTCTCTCCGTCCGTCACTGTGTGCAAGCTGGTTGCCACTTTGATTTCTCGCACCCATCGCACTGCCTCATGGACATCGGTCGTGGACTTTATTTGCGTGCTCAAGTTAACGCCTTGGGACTCTACTCCTTTCCGGCGCAGCCTTACACACGCCTAGCCAGCAACCCTCCGCCTCACCCTCCTGCTACCGTTGCAGCTGCCATCATGGAATTTCAGGCTAACCTAACTGCTCACCCTTCCCTTAGTGATGCAGATCCATACCATATCAAATTCGC